TTGGTAAACAACTTGATTGCTAGGTCCCGGCCTCAGGGAACCACAGCTGCTCTTTCCAGCTCCCTGCAGACTTTTGTAGGGAGCAGGGATTGCTTCAGGGAAAAATAAACAGGGGAGAACAAAACAGGAAAACATCACTTGTTGTTTCCTTGCCACCTCTACCTGTTTTCCTAGAGCTGTTTTGCAACCATAGGCCCTGGGATTTGGGTTCCTTTGCTTTACAAAAACAAGGCAGGCCCCGGTGGCATTCCATGCTTCTCTCTCCATGGCTAGACTGTGGCATTTGGAGTAGCCACAGGACTTGGAAAGCATTGGAAAGGACCTAGTAGCCGCTGCCAGAACGCATGCATTTTTAAATATGTAAATTGAAAAGGAAGAAAGCTTCATTCTTTCTAATGATCCCCAAGATGGTAATCTGGCTTTTCAAATCTCTAGGAAAACAGATTGAATATGGCACAGTTAATGTTTCAGCACTTCTAGGCTTTTCTCTGAAATATTTTAATGGGCTTTTAATTTATTGCAGCTCTTGATTAGCAGAGTTGAGGCAGGGTTACTGCTGACCTCCTGGGCCAAGGTACTCCTGGGGCTGTAGTGAAGTGGAAAGAACAAAGGTTTGATAGTGTTCTTAGCTGGAGCCTCCCAGGGCTGAGCCCCTGGGGGTTCACTGAATAATTTCTTCCCCTAAAGTAGTCAGAGAGCAATGCAGTGTTCTTCAGATTTTTATCAGAGTTACCTGGGGTATCTGTTTGGTGGAACTGCAGATTCCTGGAACGTGTTTAAGAATCTCTGCACTATGGAGGGCAGGAACTTGAGCTTGGAGCTGGTGCCCCCCTGCGCACTCACGTTGGCAGTCCATGGCCTTGGAGATTGATATTGCCATAGTGTAAATACATGAGCTGGAGTAGAAAGCAGGTGGTGATGCTGCTACATTGAGAACAATTTTTGAGACTTGCGCATTATTAGTGCATTTACTTTTTGCTGATTCTACTTCACAAGTTGGCTGTTCCCTACCTTTTTAAGTCAAAAAACTTTCTTCCAGAAATTGTTTCTTTCTGGCCTGAAATAAGTCTTTTAGAATGCCCTTATAGAGAGGTGATACACTTCTGTTTGTCTGAAGAAGCTGTTATTTCACCCTCAGCTTTAAAAGATAGTTTTTCTGGGTATACAATTCCACATAGGCAGGTAGGAGTTTTTGTCATTTTTTTCTTTTTTGTTTTTGCCTCTGCACTGTGTAAAGGATAATTTATTTGGGTATCTATCTTCTGGTGTTTTAAAAAATTTCAATTGCTGTATTTTTTATTTCTAGAGTTCAGAACAGTTAAGTATTTTAGTTAGCTGCTGGGTTCCATGAAGATGAAACTCAGTCCTATGACTGTTGAATTCTTAGCAACACACACACACACACACACACACACACACACACACACAAACAATTCCACAAACCACAGTGGTGATTCACCCTTTATTTTTAGATATGCCTGGTTACTTTAAAATATTAGAAGTCAAATAAGACAGCACTAATGACCATACACACAGAGCGTTGTTTAACCAATTTGTGTCTTAGCTAGAAAGCTGCTACTACTCCACGAATGAAAATTAAAACTCCTACGTGAACTCTCCCACCAGCCTCTGTTCACAGCTGATCTTTGCTGTTGACTAGCCTACTCCCACCCACAAGCCTTCAAATATAATATTCTGACCTGTGAAATGCTTTTTCCACCCAATCTTCCAATTCCTTCCGAAGTCTCAAGAGAATGAATTCTTCTAGAAAGCTCTTATCTCCCCAGACACCTACTAGGTTTTTCTGTGTCATCTGTACAGCTTCTCTGTGCTTCTGAATCACTCTGGAATTATAAAACTGGAGACAGTCAGTGACCTCATCCATCATTTGCTACAGGGATTGCAACTTTTGTTTTGTTTTGTTTAAATATAACTTATTTAAAAAGTTAGCTGCTATCTTCGAAAAAATTCTGAAATATCACTAAATAGAAATCTACATTACTGCCTTTATTTGTGGAATTGAAAGCTCTTGTGGCTCTGGGGCTATGTTTCCATGTGGCAGTAATTGGAAAGGGAAGTACAATGTTTTCCCCCTTTAAGCTGATAAAGTGAGGATTTCCCAGCTTGCTACATTCCTTTCCTCTCCCTGTTACCTTACCTCTGGCCTTCCTCACTCATTTGCATTACCTGCCTGTTCCAAAATGTGGTCCATGATTGGTAGTGTCAGTATGGTCAAGGTAATGCAAATAAGCACGGAAGGCCAGGTGTAAGATGGGGTTGCCTTAGCTTTCCTGGTATGAAAAAGAAACCTTAGGTACAAAACGGTTAAGTATCTTCTGCAAGGCCACAGAGCCAAAATCCACTTGAGCAAAACTGAGTCAGAAGGGTATATCACAAAAACTTAACATTTCTTTTATATTAGGGTATTGGCTGGAAAAATACAGAGTTCTTATGAGCGCAAGCTTTGTAGAGTCAGGCTACTAAAACTCTCTATGCCTCAGTTTTCTCATCTGTATATTGAGTTTACAATAATAATATCTACTAAGAACTTTGTTATAAGAATAGAATGAAATAATGATTGTAAAAGACTTAATACCTAGTACATAATGAGTTTTCAACAAATGGCAATTATATTTTTAGTGAGTGCCGAAAAGTTATTTCTTTCAATTGTTGAATCATTTATTCACTCAAAAGATGCATACTGAGTACCTGCCAAGAGCCAGGCATTTTTCAGAAATTTTGGAGTATTGTGATGAACAACAACAACAACAAAATAGTTCTTTTATCTAATTGAATTCTAGTGGGGAAGACAAGTGAATAAATATGCAAAAAAGTGTAGATCATGGCAAGAGCTCTGCAGTAAGCACATAGGATGATACAATTGAGAGTAACTTGGAACCTGACTCAAGTAGGTAGGCAGGACACACGTTTTGAAGTGGCCTTTGTCCCTAAGACCCAATACTGAGAAGGGGCCAGTTATATAAGGAATAGGCTCGTGGCGTCTTGGGAAGCTGAGATAGCAGGTGCACCAGCCCTGAGTCAGGAAGACACTTGTCTTGCTTGAAACAAAAGGAAGGCCACTGTATCTACATGGGTTATAGTTTGAGATTGGACTGGTAGTTAAGGTAGTGTCTGAGAAGTAGAGAGTAAGCAGATTATGTAGGGCCCTCAGGCCAACACCATGGAATACTATGCAGCCATAAAAAAATGATAGCTTCGTGTCCTTTGTAGGGACATGGATGAATCTGGAAACCATCATTCTCAGCAAACTGATACAAGAACAGAAAATTAAACACCACATGTTCTCACTCGTAGGCGGCAGGTGTTGAACGGTGAGAACACGTGGACACAGGGAGGCGAGCATCACACACTAGGGTCTGTTAGGGGGGACTAGGGGAGGGATGGGGGGGTAGGGAGGTTGGGGAAGGATAACATGGGGAGAAATGCCAGATACAGGTGATGGGGATGGAGGCAGCAAACCACATTGCCATGTGGGTACCTATGCAACAAGGCTGCATGATCTGCACATGTACCGCGCAACCTAAAGTGCAAAAAAAAAAAAAACCCAAGTTTGAGTGTTATCCTAAAGATGGTAAACAAATCCAGTCCATTTCCTTTTCCTCCTTTTTTTCTTTATTCTTTTCTTTTTTGCTATGTGACATAGGCCTCTGGCTTTAGGGAACATGTCTGAGCCTTGGAAGTACTTCTTGGATCTCAACGCTACTTGGAGGCTTGGAGAACGGGACTTTGTCATTTGACGCAAAGTGTGGTCCATGATTGGTAGTATCAGCATCTCCTGATAGTTTTTCAGAAATGTAGAATCTCAGGCCCACTCTAGACCTAGTGAATCAGAGTCTTTAGGGATGGGTCCCGGGAATCTGTATTTTGAAATGCTCTCCAGGAGGTGTTTATATACACAAGTTTGAGAAGCATGGATCTAGAATATCTTTGGACGAATTTCTACAGGACTTGGAGCTATGCTCATTGGAGAGGAATGGCAACCTTCCCTGGGCACCCAGGGGCTGCTGCCAGCCACCGGGGATGCTGGCTCAGTAGGGCTAGGCAGGGTTAGCATTCTAGGAACTTGAAAAAGTCACCAGTCACGGCACATCTTTGGTGTTGATGGCAGATCAGCATAAGAGTGAATCGTGGTCAAAACAAAAACCAAAAACCTCTTTTTAATCAGGAAGCTTAAAAGAGAAGTTAATAAAATATTTAGAGCAAATATGTTTCTTTCAAAAAGACAGAAGCTTAGGAGTGGAAGGAACTTCAAGAGCATTGGGAAATGCCCTGACCCTGCAGAGGGAGAGACTAGAATCTGGAGATGATAAATGGCTCTCCTGGGGCCACACTAGTGACTTGATGCAACACTCGGTCCAGAACTCAGGCTTCTCAGGCTTTAGAGCTCTGACCATCACACAGTACGTGCTTTCTTGATGGCAACATCTTCATAAGTATTGCTCCTTATGTAATCCGTAATCATATTTAGAATAAAATGGAATTATTTTGGAGAAAAAAAATTAGTGATGATTACCTTTCCTACTAGTTTTAAGGTTCATTATTTACTATTAGTATTTCCAAAATAATTCAAAATTCTTATTTAATGTTTTTACATTTCTTCAAAAAAGATCATTACTTAATAAGGCATGGTACATTTATCTGTGTGAGAGTTTAGTTAAAACCGTTTATTGTTACCTACTTGATAATGGGAAGTGGCATTTTCATATGCTAAAATATTTAAAATATTTGGTTCAAAGCCCATAATAAATAACAACTTTTTAGTGTACGTGTTGAAGTGATTAGTAAATGTATCTTTGAAAACAGTATTTCCGGTTTGTATTTGACAGGATCACACTTGATGCATTGACATACCCTGGCTTGAACGGTGTTTTCCCCTACCTCAAGAATCTATGTCTGTCTTGCTGTTTTCAAGTGTAAGGAAGTGGTGGTTTTAGAACTTACATCTTAGTTATGTGTAAAAAAATATTTTTGTGTTGCAGTGTCCCAGAAGCTTTTGTTGACAATTCCAGTTTCCGAACAAAACATTTCGGCAATGGTGAGGGCTTCGATCCCTTCTCTGATTTGCTGTCGGCCATGAACGGATGGATGTGATGCCTGCTAGCCAAAAGGGTGAGTGAATGAATGTTTGTGATTATTCATCTGAAAATTCACCAGACAAAAAGTCCGTCAAGACAGTTGCCCACCCAGGAAAGAAGGGACAAACTGTGTCACTGTTTTCTGGTGTAATCTTTTCAGATAATTCCTATAGTGATCTGAGGGTTCATAAAAGGCGTAATACGACCTAGGAGAACTTTCTCTGTTTGCTAGTTTAATTGTACCCTGAAGGGTGGACTATCTCAGTTTTGGGCCACATGCAATATTGAATGAGTAATTGCTTTTTTGGTCCCATGACAGCTTGGTGATAACATGAGCCACCATGAAATAAGACAATAACTTTTTCATCTTCAATTTTAGGGAAAATTTGAGTCTAATTTATTCCTTGAGAGAGTCCCATCCCACACTTTTTGTATGTTGAGGACTCTTAAGAAAGCCAAAGGATTGGAAACTTGGGAATTTCGAAGATTTTTTTGGAAGACTTCGGGGAATTTTTGCCAAGGATAATTTACCTCATTAGGTTGTTCACTTATTTTGTAGGGGGAGGGTAGAAGGGACATGATGATGTTTTTCTCTAACGTGTGTTTTCCGTCCATCGTGTTCCTCAGCAATCAGTGACTCCCCTGTAGTAATGGACACTGTGACTTAGCGTTACCAGAGACAGTGACTGGTTGAGGCCAGGCATTTGGGTGACAACTCTGACATCATTTGTGGTAGCCTTGTCATTGAGTGAGGTCAATTTTATGAAGAACCGTATCATTTCAGGTTTTGTATTGAATGGCATTTAATGGTAAGACCCATTGGCATAAAACTCATAACTTGCCTTTTTCTGTCTTAGTGCAGCAATATTGGAAACAGATTCTAAATAATGGAGAGAAGTATACTGAAGCAGAAAGGGCACTGTATTGGGAGTTGGGAGACCTCATGGTTACCTGGCATGGGGCAAATTAGTCTCTTTCCTTAATTGTCCTTTTTTTTTTTTTGAGGCAGAGTTTCGCTCTTGTTACCCACGCTGGAGTGCAATGGCACGATCTCAGCTCACTGCAACCTTCGCCTGTTAGGTTCAAGCGATTCTCCTGCCTCAGCCTCCCAAGTAGCTGGGATTACAGGCGCCCGCTACCATGCCCAGCTAATGCTTGTATTTTTAGTAGAGACGGGGTTTGACCACGTTGGCCCAGCTGGTCTTGAACTCCTGACCTCAGATAATCTGTCTGCCTTGGCTTCCCAAAGTGCTGGGATTACAGATGTGAGCCAGCATGCTCGGCTTGATTTTCTGTACCTAAAACAAAACATGTAGGTTAGAGGATCCTATACTGTCAGTGTTATCTAGGCCCTAGAAATTACCTGTTTAAACACCTCAGCTTACAAATGAGAAAGCTGAAGTCCGTGAGTCTAGGTGGGATGGCTAAATCCCTGGGGTTTAGTTGTTTGGTCATCATTCAGTGGTTCTTTCTAGCTAATTTCAATGACAAAGATTCAGACATTCTACCCATGTAGCTTTTTAAACCTCTTCTGATGATGTGTCTAAGATACTGTTAGGCATTCAACTATTTGGGCCAGATTTGTAAAGATTTTATAGCTAGGGGTTATTTTGACAAATCCCTCCCATTTTATACATTAAAAACTATGTTCGTGTTACTGTCCAGAGAAACTGTGTTCATAGTGAAGCAACTAGCTCAAATATTCGAGACCAGATGATTTTCAAAGAACTATTGTCTTGAAAAGGCACTTCCTGCCACAATTTGTTAACTGATAACTTGTACGGTGTATTCTGTTCTGCTGGAGCTAGAGAGAGAGAAAAAAAATCCAATCTCCTATCTTCCCTACAGTATTACTTCTGTCAGTGGCAAGAAATAAGGCAGCTAGTAAGCAGTAGCACACAGGCAAGGATGTGCAGAATGAAAAGAAATAGTTAATGGAGTCATGACATTTTAGAGCTGTTAGTGATCTTTGATCTTTTTAGTGGGTGGCCTTGGGCAAGTGCTTTGGCTCCCTCACCGGTTGAACTTCTGAGGCTTTCCACTGCCGTGCACGTATGATAGACTTTTGTGGATGGTCTGTAGTGAACAGGCAGCACATGTTAAGAAAAGTTGTATCTGGGCCAGGCGTGGGGGCTCATGCCTGTCATCCCAGCACTTTGGGAGGCCAAGGCAGGTGGATCACCTAAGGTCAGAAGTTCAAGACCAGCCTGACGAATATGGTGAAACCTGGGCTCTCATAAAAATACAAAAATTAGCCGGGCATGGTGGCAGGTGCCTGTAGTCTCAGCTACTCGAGAGGCTAAGACAGGAGAATCACTTGAACCCAGGAAATAGAGGTTGCAGTGGGCTGAGAACGTGCCACTGCACTCCAGCCTGGATGACACAGTGAGACTTTGTCTCAAATAATAATAATAATAATAATAATAATAATAGTGAAAAGTCATATCTTTAGGAATTCAGGTAGAGTTGAGAATAAAGCCTGGGTCTATTTCGTATATACATGAGAATTCATGAAAGCGGTTAGAATTCTGAAGTATTGAAATAAAAACAAACTCAGGTTTTTGGTTACCTGTCATCTCTGTCTTTGGTATTGAGAGAGTCTGACTCAATCTTACTATTATAAAATTGATGTATGAAATTTAACAAAACCACATGAATGGATTTGTTGAAAACGAGGCTCATTTTATTCATTAATTTCAATTGGGTTTGGCCCATTATTTGAAAAATCAATCTGAAGAACTGTCGTGAAAATGATATCTGTTTTGAAAAAATATACTTTTAGGTCTAGTGGAATACTGTTTTTGTTTGTTTGTTTGTTTGTTTGTTTTTCCTAAATAAGGAAGTTCTTAGTATTTATCAGACTGTAAAAATCTTCCCTTCTCTGTGTTTTTTAGTAGAAGGTAAAGGTACCCAAAATCCTATGAGCTGGACCACATGTTCTGATTTCTATCCCCCTCATTTTTTTTTCTTTTTGAGACAGAGTTTTGCTCTTGTCGCCCAGGCTGGGGTGCAGTGGCACAATTTCAGCTAACTACAACCTCCACCTCCTGGGTTCAAGCTATTCTCCTTCTTCAGCTTCCTGAGTAGTTGGGATTGTAGGTTTCCACCACAACACCCAACTAATGTTTGTATTTTTTAGTAGAGACAGGGTTTTAGCCATACTGGCCAGGCCAGTCTCAAACACCTGACCTCAAGTGATCTATCTGCCTCAGCCTTCCAACGTGCTGGGATTACAGGCGTGAGCCACCATGCCCTGCCACATTTTTTTCTCAAGGTGCATTTCCAAGGCTTGCTCAAAGGACTCACTCTCTCCCTGGATGCTGCAGTGACTGGCCTTTCATGCATTATGCACCTGATAGTCAGTCCTTCCATTGTCAAACATTTGTTCACAGTCCTGTGCCTTTTAGAACTTCACAGTTTATTGAATAACCAAAAGGAGCACCAATTAATTGTTACAGCTAATAATTTGGAGTCTTTACGCTTGAAATAAACTCTAATTCTGAGTGAAGCTTTTCATGGTAAGTGTCCTCCTGGTAGACCAGGGTCAGAGTCACAGAGGTAGGCAGCCAGAACAACAAATTGCCTCACTCAAACGCAAGGAAATGAAACCATGAAATAAAAGGTTTGCACAAATAGATCATTATGGCCAATTTTTAAGGTCAGAAGATGGGTAATGTACTCGATTGATGCTGGCGATAACCATGCTTGCATAATAAATTAACTTAGAGGCAGGAGACAGCGGAAGAAGGGCTGAGCACTTCGCGTCTCTCTTTGTGCTGTGGTTCTTTAATGCCACCGTTCACCAGGAAGGAGTCGGAGTTGGCTCCTGTTTCCTGGTATGAAGCTTTAGTTGACACGGGTAGCTATAGGATGCACATCACGGGACTTCCAGAATGAAAAGTGGCAATGCCTGCTGCATACTGAATAGGCAGTTAGCCACAGTGTTATTAATAAATGTGATCATAACAATTTGCATTTGCAGAGTTTTTTTGAGAAGGACTGACTAGAGATGGTGAATGTGCTGGCTTATTTGTTTGTCTCTGCCCTGTCATTGCGTGGTCTCTACCAATAATTTGTCCCTTGCTGGTAGATCTGATGAAAAGACATAAGTGTCCTATGACATTCATTGTGTGTTATTTGTTCACAATTATTTTCCCTTCTTTGCCCAGCCTTCCTCTTTTGATCTCTCTTACAATCAAATTGCTACCTTTTGACTTACTAGGAAGAGATAAAAACATGGGGCAATGCATCCTTCTCACCGGAGACTTCGCGAAGGGCTACTTTTTGGCTGGGAGTTTCTTTCTTTTTAAAATAAAACTCTAGAATATGGACTTTCTGTGATGGGTTCTGGGGTGGGGCGGTGGTGACGCAGCTTCCAGAAGGTATATGTGGCTGGCAGGTACCTTGGGCCAGGAGAGCCAGCTGACAGGTTTCCTTTCTGGTCTTCCTTGTGCTGCAGCCTGTCGGGGGCCAACCCACTATGTTGTGCTTGAACTTCCAGTCTTTGGAATTTTGACTTTGAAAAGTAATTTCAACAATTTAATAAACTACATAATATGTTTTATAAGCTGGAGCGAATGGTCTTAAGTATTTTGGTCTCTTTCATAACACAATAAACCCAATATTGGTAAAAATACAGATCTTCACTCGCACCATAAAGAGAGGCTAGATTTAATAAGCAGTTATGAGTGCTGGCAGCTGCCTATCAGATTGTATCACTCGGGCTCCCGCATGCGAGGACAGTGTCAACTTACATTTTATCTGTGAAGTATTTTCAATGCGTTTATTTTGCCTTTCTCTCTAGTTCCTAACCCAATACGAATAATGTAATTGGCTAAATATTTTCCACATAGCTAACTGGCTAGGGGCCAAGGTGGAAACCATTGTCTGGCTTGATGAAGATCAGAAATTAACATGACATTTACGTGGAGGTAATGGAATATATTAGTAACATAGTAATTCAGGATGGTGAGAGACAGTGTCCATCCCTTCCTGCCCATAAGCAGCAGGAGGTGTTCAGCAGATGATGAAAGA